GGTTCTCTTTTGTAAAGTGGGAATAAATAATTCCTGGGCTACCTGCCTCCAAGAGACATGTGAGGGTAAAAAATGGCCTTTTAGTGTTTAGTCTTGGCCGGGCGCGGTGGCTCACGTCTGTAATCCTAGCACTCTGGGAGGCCGAGGCGGATGGATTGCTCGAGGTCAGGAGTTCGAAACCAGTCTGAGCAAGAGTGAGACCTTGTCTCTACTAAAAATAAAAAGAAATTAATTGGCCAACTAAAAATATATAGAAAAAATTAGTCTGGCGTGGTGGCACATGCCTGTAGTCCCAGCTACTCGGGAGGCTGAGGCAGGAGGATCGCTTGAGCCCAGGAGTTTGGGGTTGCTGTGAGCTAGGCTGACACCATGGCACTGTACCCCGGGCAACAGAGTGAGACTCTGTCTCAATAAATAAATAAATATTAGTGTTCACTCTAACACAGGAGAATGTGCTTTAAAATCCCACTATACAACGTACATTAAGAGCTTCGCTTCCTCAGTAGCTCTTCTGGGGGCCTGTAGCGCTGTGCTAGGCACAGGTTTGGGGGCAGTATGGGAATAAATGACAAACAATGAGACATGGTAACTAGCGGTGTTGTTCACACAGGTGTTTATTGCAGGCTGGGCACTGGCTGAGTCCCTCAGTGCATCGGGTCCTCCTACGGGGAGGCACCAGCTTTACCAGCCCCATCTCACAGATCAGGAAGCTCAGAGGCCACCTGGGTTTGGAGGCAGCAAAGCCAGGCTTGAACTCTGGTGTCCGCCACGCGGCCATGTGTTGTCAACCGCTGCAGAGCTGCGATGCCATGGCGGGGGCAAGAAGCAGCCCGAGTCAAGGGGCCGGGGCTCCATGGTCTCCTTGAGCCTCGGCCCGGAGAGGAAGGCGGGAGGCAGCGAGGCCGGGGCGGGGCTGGGAGGCACAGGCGGAGCAGCGGAAGGCAGAGAAGGTGCGCTGCAGGAGAGGAGCGGCCTGGGGAGGCGTCTTGAGGAGGAGGCAGGGACGGGGCAGAGGGAACCAGAGACCAACGGGGGCTCCTGAGAGCCCCCTCAGGCCCCACCAGCACGTGTGAGAGCAGGGACACCCCGCCTCACCCCACCCCCGCCTGAACCCCCACTCCGCCTGCCCTGCCTCACAGCGGCCACCGGCCACCACAGTCACCACCTCTTCGCGTCAAGGGAGGCCGAGTACCGGCCAGGGCTTGCAGCCAGGGGGCGGCGGCTGTGCGTTTGCAAGCAGGGTGGCCGGGCCCTGGGTCCCTCTCCCTGCACAGAGCCGAGCTGGCCACCTGCCCGCCCTGACCACTCACCGGGGGCTCCGTCCTCAGAACTTCCCCAACCAGGGCAAGGAATAGGCTTCCCCCAGAACACTCAGAACCCCAATCCCAGACTGTCACGGGTAGAGGGCCCTCAAGAGGTCACGTCATCTGATGGCTTTAGGACACTTCTCCTCTGCCTTACAGCTCCCAAGAGAGGCCTCAGAAGCCGCGTGCCCAGGCCCCAAGCCCCAAGCAGAGGAGGTCTGCTTCTGCCTTGCTACTGGGGCCTCCTCTTTGTAGAAGTGTCTGCCCCTCATTGTTTAGCTAGATAGCCTGAGTGGCAGGGCGTGGGAGTGACATGTGACAGACCCACAGCGGGCCGAGCCGGGCCGGAGGGTGCCCTGAGTCCCTGCCTGTCTCCTTTGCATAGACTTGCTGTCAGGCCCCTTGCAGAAGGGAGAAGGAAGCTCAGGCAGTGGCTCTCCCGTCCCCTCCCCTCTGTCCCCTGGCACTGCCTTTGTGCAGACTTCACTCTGCCCCCGCGGTGGCCCGCGGAAGGAAGGAATGGAAGAGGTCACCAGAGCAGAGGGAAGGCCGGGAGCTGGGAACCATGGTCACAGCCGGGACAGGGAGAGCTGGGGGCTTCCTACCTCGGGAGCTCGGAGCTCAGCCAGTCTCTGGGGTTGCGAGGCTTGGACCTGGATGATGAGACGAAACAGAGAGCGCATTCCTGTTCCTCCTCCGCCCACTGAGCCCAGCATCGCCGCAGAACCTTCTGAACCCAGGGCACCGCCAACGAGCACGACACAGCACTGTGCCACCTAGTAATTGCCAGCCACTCCTCCAAGCAACTTACAAAGTAGAGACGCACAGGTATTGACCCTGTGACTATCCCCATTTCACAGGTGAGGAAACCAAGGCACAAGGATGTTAAGCAACTCGCCCACTGTGACCTGGAGCGAGTGGCAGGGCTGGGACAAGGCACAGTGGACGGAGTCCAGTGTCTTGTGTTCTAACCATGTCACCAGGTGGCCTCAGTCAGAGCTAGCAAGGCCCAGGCTGTGCACTGGTCATACTGGGGTTCCACTAATAGTATCTATCACCCAGCCTGCCTGTTGGGCCTCCCTGTCCGCCCTCCGTCACTCCGCCCGGCTGCATTGCCGTCACAGCGTTTGGACCCCTGAGCGCCTTTGCTTGTTAGGTGTTGCGTTTCTGTTTCCCGCCTGTACGGCGTGAGCTCCTAGGGTCGACGTGTTCTCTGCAGGCTGTGCGTGGACGCCCAGCAATCTGTCCCCTTCAGTGCTGGACCCCTGCGCCCCGGCCACAGCTGGGGCTGCGCCTAGGGAGGGCTGCAGGCCCTGTCGCGTGTGAGGCACAGGCCAGCCCAGCCTCTGCCGCAGCCCCGCCTGGCAGAGCGCAGAGTCACCGCAGCACTGGCAGACACACGCCTGGTCTAGCTGGGTCTCAGCGGCCTCAGTCGTGCAGCTGATGCCTGGCCGGGCCTCTCCTCCAGGCCTCCTCCTCGTCCTCCCCATGCCCCACTGGAACTGCAGCTGTGAGGTCCCCATTTCTTCCTTCCACTCAGGCCCGAGAGTGTGACCTCCAATTCTCAGGCATCTGGTGCCAATTCAAATCCTCCTACTGGGACTCCGGAAGGTTCATGGGAGTTGAGTCTCTTGCCACAAAAAACCCGGTCCTCACCGCCCTACCCCACCCTCATTCTTCTGATGTGTAGCTTCTTCCAGGAAGTCCTCCAGGATCCCCCTAACTCCCAGGCTGGTCTGGGTGTCCTGAGCGTGCTCCTGCAGCGTGCTTGCAATTGCACATGCTGTAACATATGTGTGTCTGCCAGTTGGAGAGACACTGGCCTTGGACTGTGAGTCCTCGGAGGGTGGGGGCCTTGCCTTATTCCTGCCCGTGCCTTGTGTTAGGTGTGCGATTCCCGTTTGTTTACGCAAGACATACATTAGCAACTTCCGTTGGGGTGCCAACGCCTCATTTCGAGCCCACCTGGTGCTCGCCCAATCACCTTCTTCGCCCTTGTCATCATCCCACCAGACGCAAAGTCTCTCTGTGAGTCAGGAGGGTCTTTCCCGGGGACAAAATGGTGTCACCTGACCGACTGGCACTTGGGGAGCCCCCGGAGGAAACGAACAAGGCCGCTGTGGATTGGAGCCACCACCGGCCTGCGTCCCCAGCAGGACGAGCGAGCGTCAGGGGAAGGTATTAGCATTCCAGCCGCTCCCAGATTTGATTATGGCTGATAACAATCGGGAGGAACAGCTCTGCCAGGATAGCAGCGCCAGAAGCGGCCTAATTCAATAGTCTGAGGCTCCGCGTCGTGTACCCATCCCGGCCCGTGGGGGCCCTCTCGGGAGGAAGGGCGCTCGGCCCTGCAAGACGGCGCTGTGGCCTCGCCGGAGCCAGCCAGCGCGCCAGGGCCGGGCACTGCCGGGAACAGGCCCCTCCTGCGTCAGCACATTCCTGGCAGCTGCTGGGGAGGAGAGCTTCCCGCCCAGGTTCCCTGTTCTTGCTTTCACTTTGGGGAGGTGGCTGTCCTGCTCTGCCCAACTGGCCACCCCTCATGGCGGCCCAGGAGCCAAGCCAACCCGCTCACAGCCCCGGGGAGCTGATAGGAAACTCACTCTGCTTCCCTGCCTCTCTCTGCCAAGGCCACGCAGCAGGGTCTGCAGACAGCAGAGCCGAGCCCCAATCCCAGGGGCTCAGGGTCCCAGAACGAAGGGGGCTGCTGAGACTGCATGAAGCACGTGGCCCGTCCTGCGTCCAGTGGGCTCTCGCTCACCTGTAGTGGTCATTTGAAGATGCGACTCCTCTGCCAAGCCTTTCCTGACCCCCTCAGGCTGAGCGAGCCCCTTCCTCCCACCCTGCCATCCCAGCACCAGGTCATGAGTGCCTTGGTGGCTGTCAACTTCTCTTGGGTGGGATTCTACTTGAGCCCCCGTCTGCTTGGGCCACAATACAGTGTGTGTTGGCCACTGGCCACAGCCTGGAGGCCAGGACGCCTCGGGCTGCCCCTCTGATTTGCCTCAGGGTCAGGGGAGCCCTTGGGTGTTGCTGTGGCTGCAGGCTGGAACTGCCCACACCGCCACCTCTGCGGAGGGCTCAGTACCGCTGACCTCCGTGTGCACCTTCCCAACCAGAGCAAGAGATTAGGGCCAAGATGGAGGGGGTGGGTGAGGCCAGGACACCCCCTCCACGGCTGGGGCCGCCACTGGAAACAGTCGATTTCCCTCTTTCCTCAGTCCTGCCCGGGTGGGCCCCAGCCCTGCAGGACAGACACAGGCCTGAAGAAAAGCAGCAGCCTTTATCAAGCACCTGCTGTTTACTCTTTCCTCTGTGCTCAGGGCTGGGGGCGGGGGTGGGAAGCACACACCCACACAAGGGGAACAAGCACACATGGACGTGAGATAAGTGACTGCTGGAAGTTGGCTTGCAGGTTTGGAACATTTCTGCCCAATTTAAGGGTCTGATATACTGGCCCAAAAATGTTTTAAAGGAAGGTGCTGAAAATATAAAGCCAACATGTGACACATGTCATAGCGTCACCTCTTTGGGTGGCGTCTCCATAGGTTTGTGGGGAAAAAAAATTAGGAGGAAAAATGTCTTTTTTGGTGTGTTCATATACCAGTGATAAACACGGGCTGGATAAAAAGCTAGTTTGTACCCCGGATGAGAATACAGTTGTGTGTGTGTTGGTAAATACACGTGACTGCTCATAGATAAACTTGAACATAAAACTAATTACAAAGCGTGTCCACGTACATGTTTGCGCTTATAATCTACATATGAAATATACAAAGAAGTTCTTCCCAAAGCCGTGTTGCTGGATGCAAGGATTTCTAGTGCTGCTGAAACCACATGAAGCTGATGTCACATTATGACGACAATACAAGCTGATGTTACAGCGTAAGTCATGACGACAACACAAGCTGATGGGACAGAAGATCCTAAAAATCCAATTGCCTTACGGAGCCTCCAGCTCTGTCTCACACGCCTCACTGAATAACCGTGGGGTTGGGGCCTATTGCTCCCACCCAACCGCACCCTGTAGTGGGCTCTGGCTGTAGTAACAGTGTACACGGACTAGAGGGTTTAAACAGCAGAAATTCATTTCCTCGCAGCTGGAGGCTGGAAGTCCAAATCAAGGTGTCGCAGGGTTAACTTCTTCTGCGGCCTCCCTCCTTGGTTTGCCTTCCCCTGTGTCCTCCCATGTCCTCCCTCTGAGTCTGTGTCCTAATCTCTTCTTCTTATAAGGATGGCAGCCGGGTTGGATTAGGGCCACCCGAATGACCTCATTTTAACTAGTTACCTCCTTAGAGGTCCTCTGTCTCAAAATATTGTCACAGTCTGAAGTCCTGGGGTTAGGTCCTCAGCACATGAATTTGAAGGGTGGTGGTGTGGGGGTGGGAGACACAGTTCAGCCCAGGTGGCCCGGGGGGATGCAAGAAGGGCGCCTGGACTCAGAGTCAGAACGCCGGGTGGCCAGCCCAGCCCTGCTCCTGCGCAGCCCCGTAGTTTAAGTAAAGCCACTGTGCATCTCTGAGTCTCCATGTTCCCATCTGTGAAACTGCCGTAACGATCCTGCCCTGCCTCTCGCACGGGGCTGTAGGAACATCCAAAGAGGAACCTGTGAGTCCCTTTGCACGTGATCTAAAACCACCCCTGTGCCGGGTGGAGGCAGGGCCCGCCCGTCTGGCTGTAGACAGCATACAGGTGAGGCAGGGAAGGTCAGGCTGACAGGTTGTCAGCACACAGCAGAGCTGCAGACAGTGGTGCCCTGGGAGGGCATCAAGGACAGCAGCAGTGCAGGGAACCGTCCGCTGAGCGAGGCTTTGGTGGGGCGTGAGGGGGAGTGAGGCTGCTAAGGCGGTCATGGGGGAGGCGTGGCCGGGTGCTCTCCAACAGGGCTGCCCAGAAGGGGCCAACGTGAGGTCGAAACCCAGCCCCCTCTGCACTTTTTATGCCATGTTGAGTGCAGGCTTCGTTGACCTGGAGAAAGGGGCTTTTTTCTCCACGGCACCTGAAGGTTCTGGAAAGTTCTGGAAGGTTCTGAAGGGCTAGCAGAGGCCTTGATGGGGCTGTGGGTGAATGATGGTGATTCCATCCAGAAGCAGTGGAGCATAGCCTCCAAATCCCGCTGAATCCTTCGTGTCCACCCAGTCTCGGCCTTTCCCTCAAGTCGGCACGGTTCCACTTCTCTGGCTGCATCAGGAATTACCTCTCCTTTGGGCCAAAGACAAAAAAGAATGCAGACTTGTTTCCAGGATTATTAAATTACACACAGCGTATTCTTCCCGAGCGCGTCCCGTCTTAGCGGGGTTTAGGGCTGCGTTCAGGCCAGCTGGGCTCCGGTTACCTCTAATGAGGATAATGATCAGGAGGCTTAACGATAATTCGGCATTGATTCTCTCGTGCCTGCGGAGCCCGTGTTGGCCGACTTGGACGAGGGGAGAAGAACAACAGAGGCCGCCTCCGCCCCACGCCGCGCCGCTCACCCCGCGCTCACTCACCTGGGTCTGCGCGGGCCAAGGCCGCCGGCCTGTCCTGCCCAAGAGTGGCCGGTGCTCTTGGGATGGGATTAAACACCAGCTTACACCCCATGGGGGAGAATGAAAGTTGGAGCAAGGAATAAAAACCCAAACAACAACAAAAAAATGCAGCTAATTCCATCCTGTCAACGGTGGATATTAAAGACTATTCGCTGGCAAGCCCGGCCATGTGTAAGCCACAATGGCACTACTGTTGAGTTTTAATTTAATTTTCAGAAAGGTAAGCGAAGCCTCAAGAGCCGGCCGGGGAGGAGGTGCTGGAAGCTTTTCTTTGCTGCAGGCAGTCTGCAGTTTTCCTGAGGCCTGGCCGAGTGGGTTCCCTGCCTCAGTGAGGGGAAATGTCTAAACAATAACTCCAGGAACTGCTGTTTATTGAGTGTCTACTCTGTGCCCTGCCTTTGCACAGAGTCTCAGAGGTAAATGGAATTATCTCTATTTCATGGAAGTGGAGAATGACGCTCAGAGAGGCTGTGTGGTTTTGATGAGGTTGCCCAGCAAATAAAAGGCAGAACTGGGACTAGAACCCAGGTCTTTCAGGCTCCACTGACCTTTCCAAGCCCATGGCGCCTGTTCTCTTTCACCATCCAAGCCTTGGGGACCCGTGGGCCGGAAAGTCACCTCTTCGGTGTCCTGCAGCAGCTGTTGCTTAGGAGTCGCATGAAGCTGTGCCCCTTCACACTGCTCTCCCACCTACAGAGAGCTGTGGCCACACGCCTGCCCCTTGGCGCTTTTTGCTTCTCAGCACTTGTCAAGCACATGCTCTTTCCCGACACCGGGCTAGGTGTTTCTCAGGGGTTACCCAAGCACTATCAGTTTATGCCCATTTTATAGCTAGCAAGTTGTGAGGCCAGAAATTGAACCCAGACCCCTGACCCGACACCCCAGCCTCTGCTGAGCTGCCTCCCTTGTTCTAATACCGACGGACTCATTCTGGGGGAAGCTGTCTTGCAATTAGGACTAGAGAAAACAGGAAACGGTGCGGGAAGAGGCAAGGGGCAAACAAAGGCGTCTTACCACTTGTCAAGCCATGAATAATCCACATCGACTTTTTTTAAGTTGACAGAGGTTGCCAGCCGCTGATGGACTGTAGCTTGTCGCCCTGTGGGGCCGCGGGAAGTGCTCACTGGCACTGCCCTTGGAGAGGGCAGGTCGAATGGCCAGAGGAGATCAGGGGTCTGAGAAAGGTGTTTCCAGCCTGGGTACTTCAGGAGCCCGGAGACATCAGGCAGGTGCCTGGGGAAGACTGCAGTCAGACAGACCGGATTTAAATCCCAGCTCAGCCGCAAACTTATCAGTGCCCCTGGAGATTTTCCTTACCTTTTTTGGAGCCCAGTTTCTTCATTTGCTACACGCAGATACACACACACTTACCACCTCCTCACGCTGGCTTAGGGTGTTGGGAGCTATGTTGGTAACTTCCATATTTTACTCTTTTGACAAGGACACGAGCTTTTGAATACATAACTCACGTGCTTTTAGCTTTATAGTTTACCAAGAATTTTCCCATTCATCATGGGAAAAACAGGTCCCCATTTTTCAGATGAGGAAAACTGAGGTCCAGAGAGAAGCAACTTCCCTGTGTTCCCTCCCAACCTGCCAGGGTGAACATTCTAAAGCACAAATCTGATGACATGTGATTCGTGTGTGTTTATGTATGTTCATATATACACATGTGTGCACAATTGTGTGTATAGGTGTGTTCATGTGTGCACAGGTATGCACCTGCATGTGTGTAAAATCTGGCCCCCACTCACCATTCTGGTCTGAATTCTCATCACTCCCTCCTATGTCCCCACACCCTCGCCTGGTAAGTAAGTCCCTGACTACTCTGTATTCTCTGCTGCCTTCATGGACCACATTATGGTTTGGAGCCCTGACTCTGGAGCCAGCCTGCCTGAGTTCAAATCCTGTCACTTACCTTTCTGAGCCTCAATTTACTCATCTATAAAATGGGTTTAAGAGCACCTATGTTAGCAGATTTAAATGTATTAACATTTTTCATGTATTTTAGAACAGTACATGAACACATTTAAGTGTTCCGTGAGAGCTTGCAAAGTATGTAAATAGCGTTCTCTCTGCAGGAAGGTTTCCATATTTCAGGATTGGTTTGGGTTGGTGCCTATCCTGTGCTTCCTACCATGGTGGAGCAAGTCTCTCTGTCCTGGAATTGTCCCCCACCATCGGCTGGGAGATCTACCGTCTTTGAATCTCCAGCTGCCAGCACTGTGGGGCCTGGACCATCGGGGCATTCAGGGGGTTGTCCTGTGGCCCAGCCAGGCCAAGCACAGTGGGGCTGTTCCTTTAAGGCAGCATGCTCTGGATAAATCTCTCTGGAGGGCAATACAAATAATGGCCGTGCTAGCTAAGCCCATGAACAGAGAAACTTTAGGCTGTGGCTCTCCAATTAAATGATTCCTCCTCGATGCAAAATTGTTTTTGATTTTTATTGTAAACTTCTCAGGGCTTCCCATCCAAAAGCATAATTGCACTTACCCAAACCGCCGCATGCTGGACGGATACAAGGTTTGGAGAAGCTGCCATTGTTGCTGACCCTTCTGCGCAGCTGCCTGTGAGGGGCTCCCAGGTCTTGTGCCTGCACCCAGACCAGACAGTCCAGACGGACACCTGATGGCTCACAGCTCTGGCAGAAAGTGGCAGGGGAGAGGGACATAAGACCCAGTTACAAGATGTGTCTTCTGAGTTCAGAACTACCCAGAGCAGCTCCAGCGTTACCTGGAAGACCTGGCATGCCTTAAAGGAGAACCCGGGGACCTCAGGTTCTCCAAGGAGACAAGGAGACCCCATGGCAGGGGTGTGCTGGAACTGGCATGCACTGGCCCCTGAGAACCAACTGTTAAAACTTTAGGAATTTTTCAAGCTGGTTGTTAAACAGAATAAACATTAAAAATTAAATTAGGCAAATCTATAATTAAACAACTTATATTAGAAACGAAGACAACAGTGGAACTATTCTGTAATGGTACTACAATGGTGGATCCATACCATCCTACATCTGTTAAAAGCCACAGAATGTAAAACACTGAGAGTGAACTTTGTGGCAAACTGTGGACTTTAGGTGATTAAGATGAATTAATATCGGCCAGGTGTGGTGGCTCACACCTGTAATCCTAGCACTCTGGGAGGCCAAGGTGGGCAGATCGCTTAGGGTCAGGAGTCCGAAACCAACCTGAGCAAGAGCGAGACCCCGTCTCTACTATAAATAGAAAGACATTAATTGGCTAACTAAGAATATATAGAAAAAAATGTCCGGGCATGGTGGTGCATGCCTGTAGTCCCAGTTACTTGGGAGGCTGAGGCAGGAGGATCTCTTGAGCTCAGGAGTTTGAGGTTGCTGTGAGCTAGGCTAACGCCATGGCACTCTAGCCCAGGCAACAGAGTGAGACTGTGTCTCAAAAAAAAAATATATGCATTAATATTAATAATACATTGTAACAAATGTACCACTCTGGTGCAGTAATGGGGGAGGCTATACATATGTGGGGACAGGAGTATATAAAAAAATCTCTATACTTTATGGACAATTTTGCTATGAACCTAAAACTTCTAAAAAATAAAATTTATTGACTAAAAATAAAACAAAGATAATAAATAGTCAAAACTCATGACTTTCTAATCATTCTACTAGTACTCAAGCTCTTGAAGTTATTTACACCTATTGTATCAGTATGGTGGAAATACCATATGGATATGCCACTGGGCATCTTTTCCCAAATCTGGGCACAAGTGATGTCACATTAATAGCTTGGAATCAGCCACAGAGGGAATGTTTATGCCATAGAAATTGACAGACGCTACAAATCAGGGAATTATTTACACTGTTGTGTTGATTGTCTAGACTTCAGAAAGTGATACACAATAAAGTTAAAGTGTGTGCCATGTCTATAGCTGTTACTGGCAAAGAATCCCGCCCCACCAAATCCAAGAAATATATTCTCCCAGCCTTTGAAAACTATTTTCTGAGTCAGCAAAGAAGCTGTTCATATCATTGATGAACCGGTGAAGTCTTCGTTGTTTCGCTTTTGTCTTACTTGTTAACATTTCCGTTGGAAGTGAGCTCATTCTTCAATTGCAATGGTAGGTTGGCTGTGCAGATGGGAGTTCAACAAAAAATCAAAGGAAGCATTCTATGATAGTCAAGTGGCCACGTGGCATTTGCAATAAAGAGAATTGGTATATTTTATTGTCAGTAAGTTGCATGCTATACACCTTTTCATGTCAGTAAAATTTATAGCAAACCTCTCCCTGCGCACTGTTGCCTGATTAGAAGCTTGGGATAGGCTGCTTGGCTTCCTTCTTTGTCCCTTAAAATCAAAGGTGAAGGAAGCATAGCGCAGGCTTCAAAGTCGAACAGGTGAATCACAGAGGAGCTCTAGATGCCAGCACTGTGCCAGACATTCCCCCACCCGCCCCTCACAGTGACCTCCGAGGGAGGAATCGCGGTAACGGTCTGGGTCGCCTTGGAAGCAGACCCTGACACAAGGAATCAAGTGCGCGCTGTTTACCCGGGCGGTGATCCCAGGGAACACCCCTAGGAGACTGGGGAAGGCAGGCCGAGAAGGGAAGTCTGCCCATAAAACCGTGTCATCAAGCCGGTTACCACCGTGGGTGCCGCGGGGGTCTTGCGGTGACAGGGTAGAGTTTGCACCCAGGACGCCCCCAAACAAGGCGCAGGGGAGCTGGGCTCCTTATTGCCGTCGGTAAAGCTGCTCTGGGAAGGCGTTAATTCATTACTACGCTGGGTCCCGTTTCACAACACGGGGCCTGCGGCCTTTCTGGTGAGAGAACAGAGGCAACCCCAGGTCTCCCTGAGAAGGGAAGAGAAAAGCAACCCAACGGACCGAGATGGAGAGCCAGAAGGCGGGGCACTCGGCTTTCCTCTCCCCGTCTCCAGGCTCTTTCCCCCGTTTTTGCCGTGTACTCCGAGGGCTCCCCCGACGGAAGCCCGACAACTGCGCCCCTCCCGGCCCGCCGCCCCGGTTTAGGCCCCGCCGGAAGGGAGACAGCGCCTCCCCGGCACGCAGGGAAAGGCGGGAGGAGCGCTGGCTGGCTCTGATTGGTCCGGCTGAGTCACATGACCAACTCTATGGCCCAATTGCATGGCCACTGGAGGGTGATTGGCCAGAATCCCATCTAGCGCCTCCTTCCGGAGGGGCCCACCTGCGCGAAGAAGGAGAGGACCCCTCCCCCCTTTTGGGCCCCCTTTTGCCATTGGGGTTGTTGCTTTTTTTGGCCGTTCCTTCCCCCGGCCCTTGGTTGGGTTGGTTAATTTTTTTCCGCTTGGTTTTTAAGTTTTTTTGAGGACGTTAAAAAAGGGGTTAGGTTGAGGGCTTGTAACCACATGCAAAATACATCTCATGTGTAAGTGAAAAATAGCAGCATACGACCCCGAGCTTACAGGAAAGTGCCTTGTCTGTTTACCTTCGTTTCCATGTCCCTTTGTTAGGACGTTAAGATGAGTGAGGATACGACCCAGGGGTTCTGTTTTGTTCCTTGCTGTAAGTCAGACACCTGGAGTGGTGCTTGGCAGGCAACAGTTGCTCACTAAATATTTGACGAATGCGTTAACTAGTAAAGAGTGTGGACACGTAGGGAAGGGAAGAGCTCATTTGTAAGACAACGGACAATGTGTATCCTTTGCACCCGCCCCCCCCATAATTTTTCTAGTTGTATGTGATGTCATTGCAATATATGATGACAAATAAGGAGACGCAGTGAATGCCAGAACCCAAGTGGGCACCTCATTAAAGCCATACCATGGGTTTATTACCTCTGTGACCAGGAAGAAAAACTCTCCAGGGCAGGTGGAGGTACTAGCCCAGCACTTATCAAACTTTAATGTGCACCCTGTAAGACAGACGTGCTTCCAACCTTCACAGAACTTACGTGCCAGTGCAGAGCCTTTCAGACCTTCATGTGCACGTGGGATCTTGTTAAAATGCGAATTCTGATTCAGCAGGTCTGGGCAAGGCCTGAGATTCTCCAAGCTCCCAGACAGTGCTGCTGCACTATGTCCTGCACATTCAGTGGCAAGGTGCAATCCGAACTCCTGAGAAGAAGGACTTCTTGCAGAGCTGAACACAGGTGTCCTGGGCCACAATGGAGCTGCATGGGTGAGCAGAAGAGAGTCGGTCCAAGCAGAACCTCTCCTAGACACGAAGTGACTGCGTCTCTTACAACAGCTTGGTGTTTGATAGCACACCCAAGTGTGGCTTACTCTCTGGCCCAGCCTGGCCACCTCCTCACCCCTCCCCATTGTGTCCCAGAGCCTGAGCTGAAGATCCTGGTCCCCGTCCTGGTCCAGGAGCTTCCTGTTTCTGGCCTCTCCTGCTTCTGTGTGACCTTCTCCTGTGTCTCGGAGCTCACCACCCCCTGTGGGAGCCCCTCGTTTCCCTGGGCCACTCTAGCTCTTCATGGCTACTGCCGATGTCCTAGCACAAGAAGGAGGCCCACCTTCCCCACCCCACTCCTGGCCCTCCCACGGCCTCCATGCAGGACGTTCTGACCTGGGGCATGCAGTGGTCTGAGCCCTTCTTCCCCAGCCTCACTGCACCGTCTTCAGACACCTCAGTTTCCACATTTGTCAAATGGGGACGTAGGCAAAGAACATGAGACAGTTATTCACAAGTGAAGAAGCCCCAAAGACTAACAGGCATATGAAGACGTACTCTTATTAGTAACTAGATAATTGCAAATTAAATCAACAATGTGACATCACTTTACATTTATCAGATTAATAAGAGTTAGAAGGCAGGAAAGAGGAAAGCACTGGCTTGTGTGTGGGGAGGTAGGATCCCTCCATGTCAGTATGGAGTGTCATCCTGGAAGGTCTCAATCAAATTAATTGTATGTGTCTCCTATGACCCACCAACCCCACTCCTCAATGTTTGGTCCAGAGAAACATGCACACAAATCCAGAGGTGGATATTTATGAGGATGTTCATCATGTCATTGGTTAGGTCAAAGGGCATAGGAGGCAACTTATATCTGCATCATGAGAGAAATGAGTAAGTAACACATGCTAGATGTACAGTACACATTATGGAATACCATGAGCGGTTGCAGGTAGACATATAGCAACATGGTGCATGGACAGAGCATAAACACATAGGATTGAATGAAAAAAAGAACTGGCATGATACCTATGGCATGATACCATGATACCTATGCACAATCATATTTATGTACAGTAAAATTGCATGCACACAAAAGTTTTAAACTAATAAAACATGTTTTATAATAATAGGAGGGTGGGATGGGAAATGGGGGGAAAATGGATTACATTAATCAATAATCAGTCCAGACAGGAACCTAGCATGGACCAGTGGTGACTTGTGGCCATGAACTAAGAAGTATGATTAACTGTGTCCTCTGCACCTCTGGTTCTGAAACAATCAAAAGCCAGGCCTACAAATCTACAAGGCATGTGTTCTTGGACAAGGGGATGACTCTCTCTGGGATCCACAGTACTGCACTGCCGGGCTGTTGTAAGCCTCAGTGGTAAGATACATAAAGGACTTAATCCACAGTCTGGCACATAGTAGGTGCTTCTTCAATGGAAATGAGAGGCAGAGTACCATGGTGCCCCAGCCTGTGGATTCTAGAGCTGAACAGTCAGAGTTCAAATCCCAGCTTTGCTGCTTGGTGACAGTGCAACCCCGGCATGTTAATGTTAATTAACCTTTCTGTGCCTCATCATCGGTCACACGAAAATAACAAAAGCCCGGGTCTCATGGGGCTGTTGTGAAGATTCACCAAGTTAATATCTATAAAGTGCTTAGAACAGTGCCTGACACAGACTAAATATTCCATGAGAGTTTGCTTTTGTTGTTATTATTATCAACTCATTATTAAAAAGAAAGCCTGGGTCCTCCTGGAGTTTTTCCAAAAATTGAGACTCTATGCATTCATGAGTCTAGGAGATGCCTGCAATATGCTCAACAGAACAGGGTGGCTCGCAGGAGAGAGAGAATTACTAAGTAGAGTTGTATTCTCTTGTCTGTCGTTCCAGAAACCTGAGCGAGATGGTGACTGCATTTGCAAGAAGCCCTGCGTGTAGCTGGTGGGGCAGCATAGGGCAGGGCGGCAGGTGTGTGCACCTGACTCGGGGCCAGTCCCACCCCCAGCCCCGCCCCATCCCCCTCTCCACTGGTGGGGGCAGCACCTCTGGGGTCCCCACCCCAGGACCCAGAGAAAGGCCTCATCCCCCACTTGCCAGGGGCGCCCATGGTCATATGGCAATGATTTGGGACTCCGGGCTGCAGGGTTCTCGAGGCAGGAGCAGGCTAAGATTTCCATAAACACGAGCGCAGAGCCATTTATGGGTTTTACTAGAAATTTTATTGGCGTTTGGTCGTGTTGGCATTGTGTGTGCCTTCAAATGTAAATTAGATTACTGGCAGTAGATTCAATTTAGCGGTAGAAATGTGAAAGGAGTTGAATAGGGCTGAGGATGAAACAATGCAATGACTGTTCTTGGGTCGACAAAGGGTGAAATCGCCCAGCCAGTGCGCCGTGTGGAGGGGGTGGGCTGACGTGGAGGGCGGAGACGGAGCACAGGACATCTCCTCCACCTCTTGGAAGTCAGATGAACTTTGTCCCGACGGCCACCTGAGTTTCCTGTTTCCCTGGAACGTGCAAGGCTCCGTGTAAATGCAATAATTTTGCCCCCATAAACATGAAACACACACCGCACAGATTTTTGAGGAAATATAGTAATTGCAGATTTGAGCCCACACATCCAGGGCCTAAGGAGGTCTGGCTTACGAGCAGCACCATTAACAGCTGACATTTATTGAGCACTTACTGGTACCATGCACTGTGCCAAGGGGTCCTCAACAACATTCTTTGACGTAGGTGCTTCTAGTAGCTCCGTTTCATAGATGAGGGAACTGAGACAGAGAGTCTTGGAGTGATTCGCCCAAGACTACCCAGTTAGTAAGCAACAGAGCTAGGACTTGGACCCAGAGCCTGCGTGTCTTACCATGATATTTTAATTCTCATGGGAAATTCAGCGTATGAAGTGCCTGTGTTCTTTCTATATGGGCTTGCATTTGTGTGTTTTCACACACATGGCTAAGTGTGTAAGTGTGTGCATGTGCAAGTAGGTGTATGTGTGCATGCATGAATGTGTTTGCATGTGGGTAGGTGTGTGTAGGTAGGTGTGTGTGAGTCAGTGTATGCGTGTGAGTGTGGATGCATCTGGATACGTGAGGGGGTAGGTGTGTGGTCACATGAGTGTGTGTACGTAGGTAAGTGTTCTGCACGTGTGATTGTGCGTGGGGGTCAGTGTGTACTTGCATGCATGGGGAAGTGTGTGTGTGCACGTGGGCAGGACTGTGTGCACATGTGAATGTGTGTGGGGGTCAGTGTGTACATGCATGCATGGGGAAGTGTGTGTGTGCACGTGGGCAGGACTGTGTGCACGCGTGAATGTGCGTGCTGCTGTGTGTGCGCACGTGCATGGGCGCAGTGCAGGCTGATGGTGGTGATGACGGTGTCTGACTGGGGAGCTGGGGTAGGGTGCTGGGGGAACCTTTGCTGCAGGCAGGTGGCCCACAAGGCCTCACCCCCAGGGAAGGCTGGGTGACATCATGGTAGAGTCAGGGTTACTCACCCTGACCACGTGGCTGCAGGTCCCTGATCAGCCAGCTGAGCCTCGGCTAGAAAACTGGGAGAGGCGTCATTTCTAGAGTCCCTTAAGCACCAAGATCCAAATATTCTGTCATAAAACCAGAACCAGGGGGAGGTGGGGAGCACAGCTGCACTGGCCCCTCTACCTTCTGCGCCTCCCCACTCGGGCGCCTGCTGCCCCCCAGCAGCAGGGATGCCCTGCAGTCTACATCTCACCTGTCTTCATAATGACCCTGAAGAGTGGGTGTTATCCTCACCTCCCTGAAGAAGACACTGAGGCTCAGAGTGGTGCAGTGATGTACCCAAGTTCACACAGGACTGCAGAGCCTCAGCTAGGGAAGCCTGAGATGTGA